GACATTATGAGCATTTATTTTATTGTGGAGTATATTTCAAATTGCCTGAAGGCATCTTTTAAACTTAACAGCTTTTAAAAAATTGTTGTGTGTCATCTTCCTAGAAAGCATAAATTGTCACAATTCAGGTGGTAAGGCATCAGGTAGCAATGAAAAGCAGCTAGCTAAGCCTGCAAAGTACATGAAACTATATTGTGCTTTTCCATCAACTCAGAATGTACTTTATTTTGTACAATGAAGAAAAAACTGTGGCAGCAAAGAAATTTCATAAAATCAATGCAAGATGATCTCATCTGACAAGTGGGATGGGGGTGGAATGAGTAGGTGTAAGAAACTTACTGCTTTTAGGAGAGTTAAAAACCAAATTGTGACTGAATCAGATCAAGAAAAGATATTTGAAAGACTGAATTTTAGATCAAAATTCTGGTAAGCATATATGAAAAGGTCGTAAGGAAACCCATTTAAAAGTGCAAGAAAGATTAAAAGGGGATTGAAGGAGGGGATAAGAAAAAGTAATAAGCATGGTGGCTCATGCCTGTAATCCCAGCTGTTCAGGTGGTAGAGATCAGGAGGATCAGTTGGAGGCCAGCATGGGCAAAAACTTAGAAAGTCCACATCTCAACAACAACAACAAAAAACCCAAAAATCTGCGTGTGGGTGTACACACCTGTAATCTTAACTACATAAAAAGCTATAAAGAAGATTGCTGTCCTGCTGGCCATGCAAAAACACAAGACCCTATCTAAAAAATAACTAAATCAAAAGGGGCTAGTGGCATGACTCAAGTAGAAGAGCACCTGTCTACAAGTGTGAAGACCTGAACTCAAATTAAAAAAAAGAGAGAGAGAAGAAACAAAGAAAGTATAATGGAAGGAAAATGATCAAAGTCCATTAGATTCATGTGTGGAAATACCACAATGAAACTTCTCATATTATATAATTAAATCCCAGGCACACATATTAATATATGTTGGAGGTATAAGCTGTGCTCATAACTGAAGAAAACTATTCTTAGAAAAGAGGAGAATTCATAAGGAACAGAAAGACACTAAGGAGGTTATGAAGCAGTCCGATAAGAATGACAAATATATCAACTTTAATGGTTATATTATGAAAAACTTTTATATACAGTCTAATTTTTTAATGGTAAAGCTCTCAATATTATTTCCGTACACAGAAAAAACACTCCCAGAATATATCCTTACTTCAAATAATGCAATTTACTAAGATGTTTATAGCTTTTAATAGGCTAAGACTGACCATAGACTTTCTGGTATAAAATTAACTCTTTAAAGAGTAGAATAAAAATGTTAAGTTATAGGAAATGGTTTTGTAAAGCACAGAAAAACATCTTTACCAACATAGAATTCTGGGGTTTATTTACAAAAAACAAAACTTACCTTAATGAAATAAAGAAATCCATATTCTTTGACTCCACTTTACTGCAATAATTAAAATGAGGAATACAAACTAATCTTAAAATAGTTCTTTGATAGGTAGAATGGAAAACTCATATGAACAAGAACAACCATTGGAATCAAAATTATTTTAAAGCTTCAATGTAAGTGATCTTGCTAAAAACAAAAAAGCAAGAAACAAAACTCCCAATTCTGCCAATACACAAACTAAATATAAATGCATAAACAATTTTTAACACTAAGGATTTTCTTGCTATCTACTAAAAACATATTTATAATAAAGTATAACTATATTAAATATTACAAAAATTTAATGGCCATAGTTGAAAAATATATTAATTCTTCTATAAATTAAAGTATTTAAAATACATTTTATTTTAGCTGGAAAAATCATTTCATTTTATACAGAATATTTTCATGAAATTTGCAACATGATGATTATCAAACTCAAAAAGTCAAAATTTTTATACTTGCCTAAGCCAAGCAGTTAAAATAATTGTGCAAGGAAAGCAAGCCTGGTGTACAATATGACATGATGGGAAATGAAGATTGCCTGTCTCTGCTGAAGGAAGAAAAAAAAACAAAAACAAAAACACAAAACCTTAAAACACTCCATGTGCCAAGCAATGTTAGAGAGCCCTATGCAAACTCCCAGGTGGCCAGATTGCAGCTCTGGAAAAACAGTAGTCAAGATAGAGTTCAACCAAAAATGTGATCTGAGCCAACAAAAGGTGCAAAAAAAAATTCTAACACTCCCAGGGGAATAGGATAGGATGACTTTTTCATGACCATGTTCTAATTAGCAATCTTCACTTATAAAATTTCAGGTATCTGGAAGTGATTACATCAACCTATAAACCCTGTTGATTATTAGCATCTAGAAAACTGGGTGCCTGTCGGGAAGGGAAAATCTCAATTCACACTGTCCAGTAATCTCAGGAACTTTATTTTCTACATCATTTAAGCAGGGGGTGGGGAGGAAAAGTAAATGGGGAAGACAGAGAAATAGGCCAACTGGCAAGTTATATTTGCCCAGACCACCAGGACTTGATAGGAAGGAAGGACTGAAGTTACACATCATTGCTTCAAAGCCCCAGGTACATCAAGAGAAGGTTTCAGCTGCCTTAAGAGACAAGCTCCTGGGTGTTGACGACGTGAGTTGACTGTAGAATGGGATACAACTGACTGACTTCTCTTCCTACTGAAAATTCATGGTGAACTTAGTTAAAGGGGTCACTGTTGTGGGAATTAATCGTGGAGTCTACACAGTAATTTTTTTCTCTGTGTAGACAGACTGACCTGCTTGGGATTCTTCAAAGATGCTTAGTTTGACTCTTTCAAAATAGATGAATCATTATTACCAATAATTATTAAGCAAGTAAAATCTATGAATCCATGTTGTGTAATGTAGTTCATGGTCCAATAGCATTGGGCACGACCGGTAACTTTAGGATCACAATAACTAGTTCCAACAGCTTACTTCATGCTAAACACTATATGAAGGGCTTTGCATAGATGATTTCACCATTTTACTTAATCTTGTCTGAAATTTGTGAGGTAAATCCTGTTACAATCTCAACATTTTAGTGAGAAAAAAGGTTATTTTCCTAATGATAGGAAAAAATATTGAAGTGATTTGCTTTATATAGATTCTGAAGTCAAAGATGGACAAAAGTCAGTTTAAACTCAAACATATTATGAAAAGTTAATGAAAATATAGTGAAAACAATATTTTCAATATATAACACTAAGTTATAACATATAACACTTAGTCTCTTTTTTTAATCAGGTAATAAAAGGACCTAAAATTCAAAATATTCTACCAGGAGTACATATCTATAACAACTTCTCTTCCCTTTAACTAGAACAAATGCCTGTATTATAAGCAAAATAGTAAATCAATTCTTGAGCTGGTATGACACTGGGTATATTTTACTTTCTTGGAACATGAATAGACTGATAGGTAAAGACTAGATCTTTGCAGAAGATTCAGTGAAAACTTGGAAGGAGGGAAACTTAAACATAATATTTGTTTTACAACTTTATATTTGATATCAAGGCAATAAATTATCAAATAAAATAATAATTTTCCCTCTTTATTGTTAATTACAGATGAGGAATGTTTTTACTCATCACCCAGAGTAAATGTCTACAAAACAATATCTTTTTTCATGTAAACAAAATAATCTAATCGGAATGTCTAATCTGAATATTTGTTTTGCTTTTCAGATGGTTTATATTAGAAATCATTTTTATGGAGCTTTTTCTAAATTGCCTGTCTTTAAACTATAATCCTTTCATGTCAAATTTCTTCTACAGGTAGTCTTGCTATTCTTGTTGTTTTGTTTTTCATAAGGCAAGGTCTCACTGTGTAGCCTAGGCTGGACTTGAACTCACAATTCTCCTGTCTCAGATTCCCAAATGCTGAAATTATAGGCACATACCTCTATGCCAGGCTACAGGATAGTTTTACAGAAGAAAACTTACTAGTTTACCTTTCAAAGGTATTAGCTATGTAATCATTTTAGTTTGTATAATACATATTTCAAATAGCCAGTTATTAATAAGTTTTACTTTCTGTAATAAGTATACAAAATATTTCCCTAAAATGTAACACAAAACATCAAAAAGAAAGAATAAATCAACTATAAAGACTTTATACTTGTGAAAGAAAAATAAATGGAACAGTGTAACTTTGAGGTATAATGACTCATAAGAAGCATGTTTCAAAAAAATGTTTCTTCTGTACTATGTGACATGAAAAAATTGAAGACAAGCAAATTAGCTAAAATGTACTTTACAATATGTGTACTGAGTAGCTAAAATATTAAATTCCAAACACCTGAAAACCAAACTCTCCTGAAAACTATAACATTATTTAAATGTGAAATCCATTTTTATTAAGGTTACTTTTTAGGAAATCTATTTTAAACAACACTTTATTTCATTTCAAAATCAATTTCCAAAGAAAAAAAAACCAGAAACCAGAGTATTTCTTAAAACTAATTATCACAACAAAATACCAGTTCCTAACTCAGATCATTTAAATAATGCTTGCTCTACAGAAATTGCCATAAGAGCGGACATAAGCAAAGTCAAGAGAACCAGAAAGAATCGTAAGTAGCTATATAACACATTCAGAACTTTTCTTCCCCTGACAATCCATGCCTCTTAGATGCACAAATTATCAAACAAAGAGGTTAAAATGTTGTAACTAAATCTATCATATTCTATATTATTCATTAACTTTTTCTATGCCCTTAAAATGTGTTAAATATGCACTTGAAAACCTCCAAGGAAACTTCAGGTATGAACCATTTGAAAACAGAGATGTGATGTTATTACATATCTGACCAAAAAACAAAAGGCGGTGAAACAGTATCTAATGATAAAATCCACAGCTGATGAGAGTAAAATAAGTTCTGTTTTAGAGACAGCAAATAAACACCAATAAGCAAATAAAGGGTGAGAATGCTATCTTGCAGAGATGTGACCATATCTTTACTTGACGTTAAGGTCCACGCTAATAACACAGACTTAGACAGGTCTTCAATCTAATAAGAAAGCTTTTCCCTGCAATCACCCCCTGCGTACATTAAAGACTGCTACTATCAGTCTGAAGCAAATAAAGACGCAGAAAGAATGAATAAACAATTACTGTCCCAGACTTGAAATGGCATGTGCCTGTAATACAAGAACTTTTTCATCACAGCTCAAGGCTTACCTCATAAGACCAGACACACTGAGTCCCACCAAAACGGCGAACACACCTTCCCACTTCCACGTCCTCATGAGTGGTGTACATTTCTCGGAGGCACTCGCCAATATGTGGCACCATCCTCCTGAGGACTTCTCTACTGAAGATCATGCCGGGTCCTCCCATGCAGAAGTTCTCCCCCGGCTCCAGCCCCAGCTTTCCAAGCTCTTCAATATTCCCCAGGCCAGTCTGTCCCAGGTAGAGAGGCTTGCTGCTATTCAGTGATCTAAGAAACTCTTCTAACTTATCCCCTGAGAAGAGAAAGGCAAGAATCACTACCTTTTGCACCTTTAATAATCATTTATAATGTGCAAAGTAGAGGACAGAACTTCCAACATTGTTCTTAAATGCCTCATAAGTCTAACACAGTTGAAAAGAAGAAAAACTTCTGCCAATATTCTATTACTTTAAAAATACTAATTTCTAGATATTTACTAAATCTTAATAAAATCTTGTCAACTCTTGTTCAAGGTTACTGTAAAATAGTAACAAGTCTAACAATCATCTTTTTTTCAATAAAAGGTGAAATAAGGCCAAGAAGAATAAAGTCAGGTTTATTAGTACAGATTTTCAGGCAACAAAAGTTCCCATAAACATAAAATAACATTAAATATTGACATTTAGTATCGTTTTGTCAGACTGTTGATGTCCAATAATTATTTGCCTAGTAATTGATTTACTTAGGTATCATTCACCATACTTCAGTGATATTATATATCACTGTATATACAGTATCATTGTACTGTATACCATTATAGCTCTGATGAGTGTTTGAGTCAATTTTATCTTGAAATTTAACTTGGGAAGGCATTGTTTTAGAAAAAAAAGTTAGAAACAAAATAAGTAATTTGTTTCACTTGTTGGTGAGGTCATCAGGAAAAATGATTTAAAACTAAAATTCTGTAGGTAATACAGTTCCATAGCATTTGATATTATACGCATCGATACATCAGAACAAGAAGAGTATCCTCCACATTTCTCCTCAGCATCTTCGCTATCATTTTTTGAAGAGCAGGGCATCTGCAGCATTATCTTGATCTCATCTCAAACCTTGCCCCCTGGATCTCAAGGAATTTCAGTTTGCTCTTACTGGGTTCATAATACAAAATGCATTTTATTCATATTAGAAATAGAAAGAACATGGCATTTCAAAGTTCTGATGAATAATCTCTCAAAGCATTACAACAAATGACCCTTCTATCAGGAAACCTGTGTGATTTTACTGAGAAACAGAAGATAAGGGGATTGTTACCCCTGAAAGGTAAGCACCACAAATCATAAAACAGGAAGCAAAATAACCCTTCTGAAAGAAGTATTTTTCTTTAAATCAATCCCAAACAGCATGCTTCAGAAATGGCAATCTTAACAGAATACTCTTTATTTTGCATTCAATCATATTATTTCTTATTCCAAACAGTACACAGTGATTTTGCTCCCCCCAGCCTATACTCAGGAAATCTCTACTAACACCACATTAACTGCTAGTGCCAAAGCTGGGACCCATGATCAGGCTAAAGCAATGAGGTCGCAAGTAGAGAGGCATAAACTGAGGAAGGGCTGCCCCCCTTTGACCACGAAGCTAGGAAGAGAAGCACAGAGATGCCTTCTTCAGTACAACCCTGTTTCTTCCTTCACATCCCTCCCCAGCTCAGCGATCGTCTTGACTAGAAAGATTTGCTACTGTGCTCCAAGGAACTTCAACCCACTGAGTTTAGAAATTCTCTCGCCAGAGCCACCCACTCTGGGTGAAGGACAGCGCCTTCTTTAAAATTTACAAAGTTTCTCGTATGTGATTCTGGGAGGACTTTAAGTCTCCGCTGATCGCCGCAGCCACCGAGATGTACTGGAAAGGACCCAATACGTGTGTGCTAGTACAGATTGGACCTCCCAGGGTCTGAATATCTGGATAACGCTAAGGCGCTTTCCCCTTTCTCCCCACCCATTCCCTCGGGTTTTATTGAGGTGTGGCAGGGAACAGGGGACGCTGAGTGCTGTACTGTGCGGGCTGAAAGGAGCGGAGCGTTGGGGCGCTGGGGGTGCTCAAAGACTCCCAATGTGCCACAAGTTATACAAAAGGGAAAACAAGGCACAGGCAAAGGTCCGGGACAGTGAAGATGACTCCTGGATCTCAACAGTTCTAAAACTGCCTTAGATGAATTGAAACAAAAGAGCAGGGAAATAAAGAAAGGACACGGGATCTCCAGACTTGTTCTAGCCAATGTCCTGCGACGGCCCACTGCTACTGAAGACACGCCCCTCGGGACTGATCTGGGGAAACTACCACCACATGGAAGCTTTCAGACCAGGACATCAGGAATGGTTTTTGGTTCAGCCCCAAGGTCCCGTTCCTCATCTCTCCCACAGGGTAAAGAGTAAGGGCACACAGTGGGCGGAAAGGACTACACAAGCGTGGAAAAGGGGAATAAAGCTGGGCAGGTAGAGGAGGGTCCAGACTGCAGGAGAAGAGGAGGAGCAGGCTAGGAATGGTAGGCGGGTGCGAGGGGTGGGGACAGCGGGCCGGGGGCTGCGAGAGCCCATAACACGTGCTGGCAGCGAAGCAGCGCAGACACTGGGCAGGGGCTGGGTCTGGTGGTAAAGAAAGGACTCGAGAGATGGGTAGGTGGGACAGCCGGCGTAAGGAGGTCACCTTTGATGTAGACATCGTCGTCGGCGCGCATGAACCACTCATACTTGTCCAGGTAGTGGTCGTGCATGTACTTGATCATCATGAAGGACTTTTTCTGTGGAGGATAGGAATCATCCACCCCCGGCAGCGCGATGACAGGCAGGGGTGGCGGGGGCTGGCCGAGCGCAGTGTTGGGGGGCTGCTGACTGGAAAAGAACTCCACGCGACCAGGGATGAAGCGCGCCCAGGTCCGCTGCACCGCCAGCGCGCGGCTGCCCAGGTACTTCTGCGCGGTCATCACACCCACGTAGAGGAAGTCCCGGGGTCGGGAGCTTGGGGTGGTGGCGCCCCCGTCCCCGCTGCCGTTGTGGCTACTCCCGGGCCGGCCGCCTTGCTGCTGGCCAGCCGCGCCCCCGTCCTCCTCCTCAGGTTCCCCTTCGGGCGCTGGGAAGCCGGGAAGCCCCGTCGCACCTTCGGACTCGCGTCCTCGTCGCCTCTGCTGCAGCGGAGGTGGCTGCTGCTGCCAGGGGCTGCTCCGAAAACTGGTAACTCCGGGCGCCGCCTTGGGCAGCTGCTGCCCCTGGAGCTCCTGGCGAGCGGGGGGCGGCGACTGCTCCTGTCGTGGCCAGGACTGGGGCTGGGGGAGCGGCTGCTGCGCGCCGGCGCGGGGGCCAGCGGCCAAGCGGCCGTAATAGGAACAGAGGCTGGAGCCGCGTCTCTTCCGCTCGCTCAGCTCGGCCACCCGGGGGGCGATGAGCCAGGACGCGGCGGTGAAGCCCAGGATCAGCCCCAATGCCACGCTCATCCACGAGCGGCGAGAGCGCACGGCCATCGCGGCTGCCCCGGGCACTGGAGCTTGCTGGGCGGCCTCGGAGCTGTGCGCGGGTCTCCAGGCTCACACCCGCCCCTCCTCCGCCTTTGCGCCCCCAGCCCTGGCAGCCACACGCCGCCTAGGCGCGGACGCGGGCTCTGGGTCCGAGCGCTCCGGCGCCTAGGCTGCCGCGGGCTGCAGCTGCCCGCAAGGCTCCCCGCAAGGCTCCCCGCTCCGCTGTGGGCTGGGGCTCCTGGAGGGTCAGGAGTGAAACTTCTCCCGGTGGCAGCGGTGGTGGCGGTGGCGGCGGCAGCCAGAGGAGCTGCAGGAGGAGGAGGAGCAGCGGCGGCGGTAACGCGTCCGCTCTCGGGCTGCCACCCTGTCACTGGCGCGCCTGGTCCCTCCCTCCTCCCTCCTTCCCGAGCCCCCGCCCTAGCTCCACGCCTCCCGCTCCCCCCGCCGTCCGGCTCCGGACTGGGCCGAAGGAGGAGGAGCCACAAGCACCGTGGCTGCCAACGGTGGGGAAGCGAGGGCCGCGGTATTTCCCCGTCCCCCGCCCTTGGACACCCCAGTCAGTGCCTCGGTCTAGAGTCGGCCTCCTCTCCGGAAGGAAACGAGCCTGTCGGGCCGCCTCCGGCTTCCAGCGCCGCCGCTCCCTCCGCCCTCCTCCCGACTCCTACTCACCGTCCCAGTTCCCCGCCCGGCCCGGCCCGGCCCGCCCCTCCCCTCCGCCGGCCTTCCGACACCCGCGTCCGGGGGCTCCACTGCCCTCCGCCCTGCGCGGCAGCTCCGCTGACCACATCGGCAGCGCTCGGGTCCCTGAACCCCCAGCAAACGCGTTCATGTTCTCCGGCTCGTCTGCCCTGGCCCACAGCCCACTACATCCTGAGGTGACCCTTGCCCCTCTGCCCCACCCCGGTCCACTCGTGGGCCACTTTGTCTCTTTGGGGTTGCACTTACCCGTGCCACTGCGCCGCCCTGTCTCACTTCACTCCTTGTGCCACTCACTACTCAGGAAGCCTACCATCTGTCCCAGCCTAACTCCCCTGGCCATAGCTGCATCTTTCACCGAACCCCTCCCCACCGTTCACAGAAGCATCAACTTTGTGTCTCTTCTAAGAAAATCAGGCTGAGATTGCAGATATCTTTTCTGAAAGACTGGGGGGAGATGAAAGTGAGTTAGTGGTTCAATCCCAAGTGTGTTCTTACCTGTGGACTTGGGAAATGTAGGGTTGCCTCTTGAGCTCGCCAGGTGGTCTCTTGTCTAGAAGAAAGAACCATGAACCATTTTCAGGCTGACTTTGTAGGACAGGCAAATGATGGCAAAAGGTGAAGAAATTCATAGGGCCAGTATCCTGGAAATCCATATTAACAAATCCATACCTAAATGAACTTGCATCAGAAAACCCTAAGGCAGTAATGACAGGGAGACATTTACATCTCCAATGAGGGAAGGAAATTTTCAGCCACAGAATCTCCAAAGAAGTATAATTGTATTGGCCAAAATCATTTTAAGTTAATTACATTGTGAAAAAAATTACCAAAAGATATGTGACATTTTCAAAAAGGGGTCATTTAAAAATTTTTCTCTGAAGGTTGTGCATTCTAATTATAGTTAGGTGCATTTGGCATCCTACAACCTTTCCTCCTCTTCTTTCAGTCCTCTGTTTCATACATCAAATTCAAAGGGATGGTATTGAATGGCATTAGACATGATGACTCTACCGAGCAAGGCCCTGGCAGCATCCCTGGAACAGTAGGCCTGCCTGGAGCCCTTGGAGGTGTGGTTCTTTCCACACCAGTAACTGGCTGTGCTTGAGCACATCTGACGAAATATTTCATCTGCTGGACAATGAAGCTCCTTTTCCATGTCTGAGAATTGCCCAGAGACATGAGAATAAAGATTGCTGGACACTTTCTTAAAGTTGTTTTACTCAGAATACAAAATTAGTCATATAAATAGGCCCCATTTGATTTGAAAATATATCTTCCTAAGAACTCGTTAAGTCATCTAGAATAGTATTATTCAATAGGTCTTCTCCTATAATAGATATTCTTTATCACTGTCTAATAAGACAGCCACTGTCTTGAAATTGACTAGTGTGATTGAGGAAATGCATTCTCAGTTTTACTTAATTTTAGTTAACTTTTATTTAAATATCCCCATGTGGTTAGAAGCTACAGTGTTGGGGAGCACATTTTTAGAGGATTTCCCATTGCTTATGATTGTTTGTGAAGAATCAGCCATCTACATACCAGCAAATTCTCCCTTGTAGCATTCAGCTGGGTTTCATTCTAATAGATCCCATTCATGGAGTTGGATCTACAAAATCATTGATTCTCATTGGGCACAAATAACTCGCTCATGAATTATTTAGAATGTTTGAGGAGAAAGTTAACTTCATTCATTAATTTATTTGATAAATATGTGTTAGAGATTGCACAGTAGATAAGGTAGACAGCTTTAGACATGGAGATGTCAACAAGATATTTACTTCCTCCTGTCATGAAGCTTGTACTGCAGTGGAGCCTAAGACAAACTTTAAAAACTATGGTACAAAGTAGTTACAATGTGGATAAATAGTAAGAAGGGGAAATGCAGATACTCAGAGAGTATTTACAAGAAAATCTAGTTTAGTCTGGGCATCAGGGAAGGCACTAGGAAGACAATGCAGAACAACAAAAGGAATTGAAGAGATACTCAATACTAGCTAAGTGACCTTGAGAAAGTGCTTTAAATTCTCTGAGCTTTAGATTTCTCATCCATAACACATTTCTGTGAGGATTTATTAATATATTAAATGCAAGTGCTTAGCACAGTGTGTAGTTAATTATAGGCATAGAAAATGTTAGAACTTCTCATGTTTCAGTTCCTTTGTTCATGATAAATATTTTAGATATCTTATTTTTTATATTTCATCCAAATATTTATTTAGTATTCACTATAAGCCAGGTATTACTATCATGAAGTAGAAGTACACAAATAGACAAGCTCCTGATGTCATGGGGCTTATCTTCTACAAAAAGAAAATCACACACACATGTATTTGTGTGTGCAATGTATTTATATAAAAAATAATACATTACATTACATGATTTGTGTTTTCAAAGCATAGAGATACAGTTGGAAGTATGCATATGTTCAATGAAATCATTTAAGCTGATTGATCAAAATTCTTTCTGATAATTTTAGCAGAAATAGAAAAAAAGTGAAGAAACTAACCATGAGCACATCTGATGATAGCCTGCTCAAACTTTAGTTCAGAGATATCCAATAGAATTATAATACAAACTGCAAATGCAAGATGTCTGACTTAAAAATTTTAATAGCACCGTTTTAGATAAGAATAAATGTAATTAATTTTGATACATTTATTCGAATTAATATGTCAAAAATAACATTTTAGCATGTGATCAATATGAAATTATTGGTGAGATATTTTAAACTTTTAATTGGTACTCAATTTTCAAAGGTATTATATATTTTATACTTAGAGCAAATTTCCATTCATATCACCCACACCTCAAAATGTTCAATAGATATTTGTCGCTAGTGGTTACCATTTTAGACAGTGTGTATTTAGAGCCTTTAGCTATACGTAAAGATTTTATTTTTTATTCTGAGCAATAATAAAGGTATAATAATAATAACATAGGTATTATGGAGAGTGGTATTTAGTATTTCCCAAGTCAGTGAGGTAACTTTCTCATTCTTACTTTAAGTTTGAAGATACATGACTTTTAGGATAAAAAAATTCTTGAAAATCTCAACTCAGAACTAAGGTTGCTTATTAAAAAGTAATAAAGTAATAAATTCTAAGACAAACTTAAGAAAAATCATTTGGATAAGAGGTGTACTGAGGAACAAATTTTCATGGAAACGTAATTGAAGAGGAAACATAATTACATACCAAAATATAGCAAGATCTGTACACTATCTTAAAAGAGGGAATATATAAATGTAGATAATTTTAATATCTCTGGCTAAAATGCCCAGTGTAGTTAACGTTCTTCTCTAAACAAGAATGTATCATTAAGTAAACTTGTGAATCACTTCATACAATCTCTATGATGCAGCTCGGGGGCAGAGTTTGAAAAAAAAGTAATAAGAACAAAACCTCCTAAAATTGTAACAGTTGCAGACAAAATTACAAAACTGATTTCCTGTCCTCCCTAAATCTTTTAACAATTTCAAGCATGTCCATATTTGACTGTAGTAACATATAAGTCATTTTCCACATCCTTGATACTGAGGCTATTAAAGCATACTCTGTATTCATGGTGAAAGTGGAGTTCATTGTGTCAAGGTTAAGTTGTGTTCCTCTCTTTGGAATGATGTTAATGTCAACCACAATAGACCAAGTTGGGCACAGTTAGCAGAGAGCCATTGGACAGACTGCTCTAAGGAACTACCCCGAGTATTTGAACTACTCGGGAAGATTGTAGCTTTACAATCACAGGAAAATCTGCAAATAAGTTTTAAGGGGAGAATATCATTGTTTGATCAATTACAAAAGCTAAGTTTTAAATAAATGGTTTATCAGATGCTTCTTTTAAGGTGAAATGAAGTTTAGGCTAGCATACTTTGATTCAGATTTTATTCAGCTATTTTTAATGTTACCATTTTTTTCTTGACAGATCAAGACTGAGTTGATTTTATTTGTGTGAAGCAACTGTGGCATCTAGTGGCTAGTACTCATAATGGTAATTCAGTTTGTTTCTAAGGGATAAATTACATTGTAAATGTTTTTGATATTGCCAAGGAATATTGTAATCATAGAGAGATAAGAAGAAAACAATTTAATTATATTTTTATTTCTTCAGAAATCAGCACAGTTTATATGCTGAAATATGAAAAAGTACTTATTTAAAGGAGATTATAAAGCTGTGGAAGTTTCTAGGCCTATTATTAATCTTTATTTAGTTAATAACCATGAGAATGTTATAGGTAGTCTGGATATTTGATGCTATAAAGAGTTTTAATTACAAATCCTGTTTTTACATATGATAATGCTATTAAGGCT